ATGGTCAAAGAACACAAATATGAACTTTGGACAGTTTATCCACAAATTTGATTTGAATGGGGAACAACTTATTTGAAATGGGGAAAAATACAATAAAGCAATTAAACAAGGAGACCTTGTCAGTTGAATTTAATAAAATTAATTTTAAAAAATTGGTGTTTATATATATATATATATATATATATATATATATATATATATATGTATGTATATATATATGTACATATGCATGTTTAATTAAATATTATAGACAAGTTTTGTCTATTTATTTTAAGTAAGTTCCTTTCATATTGTCTGATAAGTTTAATAACATTATCATTGAAAGATGAAAGGAAATCACCATATTGATACATGTTTTAATCCTATCTAAGCTTTCGGCTTACATAAGCCATTATCAAAGATGACAATTACATTTCAATATATCAAACAATACACGGAAAAAACAATAAGGATAGTCTGTTTTTGTTGCATGAGAAATACATATATATAGATATATGTATGTATATATATATATATATATGTATGTATGTATGTATGTGTGTGTGTGTGTTTGCATAAAAATTCAGATATAAATAAAAAATATATCTGTAAAAAGACAATATGAATAAAGACAAAAGGAAAAACTATTATTTACTCATGTATTTCATCTTCTGATGGACTTTATCAAGGTAAACATGAGAAATAAGTTCAACCATAACTTTGAATGGCACATTTAATAACAGAGAAAATAACTTACATGAAAAGTAATTGAGAATGACCAAAATGTAAATCTACAACCCGGATTTGTTCAAATATCTCCTTTCTTAAAAGAAATACTCCTTTCTCAAGCCAATGTATATGACCATAAAAATGATTAAAAATTAAAAGAAAATGGTTAAATCAAAACCTTCTATTATTTAAAATAAATAAATATGTAAATGATGTATGAAAGCAAATGAAAATAATAAGTAATAATTACATTAATAAAAACAAATAAAATAAAAGGTAAATAAATATAACAAATAAGAGAGAAAAATTAACAACAATAACAATATTTACTCACTTTCATTTATTAGGCATATATCACTTAGCATCTACCATAGTTTACCTTGACTTCTCAGCCTGAAGAAAATTTATGAATATTTTCTGTTCATGAATACATGTTGGCAAATAAAATCCTTACATTGCAGAGGAAAAAGAATAGTTTTGCCTTTTGTCTTTACTTATATATATATAAATATATTTTTCCTTGACATTTATCATTTTCCATAGAGCGCTTTTATTACCACCAGCACTCATTGTGCAATATTTTATACATACATATATATATATATATATATATATATATATATCAGGTAAGAATAGAACAAATGAAGTATAATTTCACTGTCTGTAATATTTAATTTCAAAGAGGGGGCTCAATACAGAGTAGAGCTAAATATTATTTATTATAGGAGATTAAAACAAAAACATGTTAAAAATTGCTATGCAATAACAATCGTGTTTCAACACTACAAATGTATCTCCCGGGGCGATGGTAAATTACTGGCAAGTGAACATTTAATTTAATTTCAAAAGCAGAATACTTCTTTTTTTGAAAAAAGAAAAAACAATTAAAAGGAGGCTTGTGGGTTTTGCCGTGATTAACCAATCAAATGTAACCAGCACTAAATTCAAACTAACTGAAAAAAATGTTTATAGGTCTGAAGTTGTCTGCATATGAATCCTAGACAATTTCATTTGGGACAGATACAAATAGTTATATTATTTCATAAAATATATAGAAGTATGATGTTCAACTTTCACAAGAAGTTAAAGGGAAAGAGGAAAGGGAGGTAATTTAACATAATGTTAACTAGTTATATGCTCAGTTAGATTCTTATATAAAACTTTTTGTGGTTGATAATTAAAAGGCCCTTTTTTATTATTATATTTCTACAGTAGAGAAAATGATTGATGAAAAATTTTATATTGGTAGTACTAAGAATTCTTTTATGTCTAAGTGGCACCAGCATATCTTATCTTTCACCAATAGTACTTATAAAAATATTACATCTGTTTGTAAATATTTTTTGAATTTAAAATAGCTAATAAAACTCCTACAGTAAAATGGAAAATTAAAAAAAAAGCTAGAACATATAGCTCTTTAAATGAACCTTGTTTCTTATGCTTACATGAGAAACTAGAAATTATCAGATATTCTGATAAAAATCTTTATTAAACCAAACAAGTGTATTAACTGAAAATTGTAGACATAGTCTACCATTTACCTAACAGTATGGTTAAACTTTGAATTTGATAATACTTTTTCTTATCATAATAATTAGAGGGACCATGGTGCAGCTTATATGACTTACTATTCTATTTGTAAGATTCATTTAGATTTAATATAGCTCTGTATTGATGTTTAGTTAGTATTATTAACATCATACATTGATTAGTTAGTATTATTAACATCTTATATGGTTGCATATTAATTTGCCAAAGTAGTTTTGTATTTATGATCTGATTTCCTTTTTTA